CCTGTCCTTCAGAAATACACAATGGGCTCTGACTGGTCAACTGGCACATTTAACCACCTAGTACACTCTGAAAGAAGGCCTTGAAAAGTGAATTTTATTGAATAAAATTATCTCCCTTTGCTTTGAACTTTCAGCATTATAATTTTTAGCTATTGATGCTCAAAAGTCAACAATACACAGTAACTAATAATAAAAAAGTTAAATAATAATACATAATTCATAACACATGTCCACATTCAAGGACCCCTTCTAAATCTTACTCAATCAGAATTTAACAAGCATTCTTTGGCTTGACTTGTGTACTGCAAACATCACCTAATTAATAATATCTGAGAAACGTACAACTCCCAGCAGTTATGGATTGTTCATGTTGTTTCATAGTTAATATTTTATACAGGAGGTTGTTGTTGTTCTTTTATAGTTGGAATGCATTATTCTGTCAATGCTTATTCTTAGTTTATTTCATTTTAAGCTCTAGTTATTGCAGCGCATCAATTTAAATGAAATTTAAGGAATACTGTTTTGTGACAGCTTAAAAAAATATAGTTATAAATAAATAAGATTGAAATGTTAACTTATGGTAAGAAATGTTAACTAATGCTAAGAATAACTTTCTTAACATTAGTTGAAAAAAATAAATAAAAGTGATTTGATTTGATTCGAACCACATTTTTTTCAGAGACATTTATTTATTTTAATTAACTTTAATTTGAACATTACCAAATGCAACTTTGGATTTTAATAACATATCCATAAATGGCCGAGGACTGCCATTTTGCTAACAAATACGTAAGAAAATTTAAATGTTTACAAACAATGTTCCTCAAAGAAAGATGCAAGACATTTGTATATTTCACCTTCTACATAGCATAACACGATTCAAAGAATCTGGAGGAATTTCAGTGCGTAAAGGACAAGAGTGCAAGCCTAAGCCTGATCTGTGATCCCTCCGGTGGCACTGCACTAAAAATCGTCATTCATTTATAAGCGATATCACCACATGAGCTCAAGACTAATTTGGAAAATCTTTTTTAACTACAGAACATAGTTTTATCAACAAATGCCAGTGAAAACATTATGGTGCCTAAATGAAGCCCTATGTTAACAATGTCCAGAAGTGCCGTCCACTTCTCTGGGCTTAAAGTCATAGCAAATTTTGAAATTCCTACTTTCTTTTTTTATTTGCTTGCTCAATCCTGTCACAACTGTTTCTGTTTTGGGGTTGTAAATAATTAATTAAATATTGTTCACTATGTACCTTTTCAGAATTTTTTGCAGGATTTGTTAACTTTTGTTCTTGCTTGTTAAAAAAAGTTCATGTTAGTTTACAGTGCATTTACTAATCCTAACAGATCTAATTATTAAATTTACAATTTTATTAATAAATGTTAATAACAACTTTGCTTATGATCAAGATATGCTGTAAGGCATTATTTATTCTTTGTTTGTGTTTAATAATAATAATGTCCTTTTTTACATTTATTTTATTTTAATTAACAAAAGGGTTTTCATTTCAAGGCTTTAGTTTTAGCTATTAAATAGCTCTGGTATAATATACGGTCAGTTAGCAATTATTGCTAAAACAAAATCCTTTAGGACAATATGAGATCAAATGATTGTACATTATCCCTATCTGCAATTATACACACAGCGCTATTCAAACCATAGAACTATAATCGAGTCTAAAGCAATATTTAAACATGCAGTCAATAAATATGGGCTTTTCAATGACACATTCCTAAACTTATACCATTCTCCTGCCTGCACAATGAGAGCCCGGTTCACATTAGTGACATTTCCGAAGCAATTATAGATTCACAGGGTTACAGGGCTTTCCATTATTATTATAATTACACATCCACAGTCTCCAGCATGTGCAGCTTGTATGAATTAACTAGCATTTCTGCGTTGATAAGAAAAACATGTTTTCTTTCATCTAAGGCTATTTCAAGTCTTACACTTTTCATAAAGAAACGCAAGTGAGGTGGTTGATTTATAGAAGGACTTGCTTTTATTAGTGCTGTACAGGCAGTGGTGGACAGTAACAGCATTTTACTTCACTACTCTACAAAAGTACTTTTTTTTGAAGTATTTGAACTTCTCAGGTGTATTTTTATCTCAAGAAACTTTTGCTTGTAGTCAGTGTAAATTAAACTGTGACTATCAAGGGGGGTCTGCTTTTTTACAGTGTGCCTATGCTTGCAAAAAAAAAAAATCATATTTTTGATCTAATTTATAAATCAAACATATTTTCAGTGTTTTTGTGAATAATTTGATTTTGACACAGTAAACTGTGATGAGCTATGAAAGATGCAGGCGGGTGCCTAATTAAATACACACCATAGTTTAATTTGGCCTCACTTTTAGGCTATAATTTAGGCTATAAATTAGATCTAAACACTTTATTAACAAAAAAAGTGTCTTTTGAATAGTTACAGTGCCTTTCAATTGGCTGGATCTGCTTGTTTCAGACCGTTGACTAAATTTTTCCAGCATCCCGGGTGCGTTCATGCATAGGCAATGGTATGAACTATTATAACGGGGTCAAATTTATATTTATAATATAAATAGTTTGACTTCCTTCAAGTGAGTTCAAGCATTAATTAGGGAGGGGGAGGGGGGTTTCCTCTCTCTCTCCACCCATTGTAATCTGCACACTGCTTTTAGTATGGTTACATATTACATTCTTCTTAAAACATGCTCTATGCTTACTGTCTTTTTTATCATGTATGTTTGTATTTGTTCACTCACATTAACACACATTTTATGTTTATTATTTTAAATATGCTATATTATCAAATATACTTATACAGTTGAAACCAGAAGTTTACATACACTCCAAAAAAAGGAACATAACCCCTTTTTAAAAAAGATGTCGGATGAAAAATCATACTAAACATTTACAATTTTAAGTCCGTTAGGATTACCTAAATGATTTAAATTGCTAAATGCCAGAATGAGAGAGTTTTTTTTTTTTTTTTTTTTTTGAGAATTTTTAATAAATTTTTAGACAGTCAAAAGTTTTAATACATTTCCTTGGTATTTTTGTAGCTTTGCTTTTAAACTCTATAACTTTGGTCAAATTTTTTGGGTATCCACAAGCTTCTCACAATAGTTTAATGCAATTTTGACCCATTCCTCCTGACAGAATTGGTTTTACTGAGTCAGATATGTTGGCTCTCTTGCTCGCACAAGCATTTTCAAATATGCCTACAAATTTTCTATAGGATTGAGATCAGGGCTTTGTGATGGCCACTTCAAAACATTCACTCTGTTGTCCTTAAAGCACATTTTAACTAATTTGGTAGTATGATTAGGGTCATGGTCTGTTAAGAAGACCCATTTGTGGCCAAGTTTTAATTTCCTGGCTGATGTCTGGAGATGTTGCTTCAGTATTTCTAGATAATGTTCTTTCTTCATGATACCATCTATGCTGTGAAGTGGAGCAGTCCCTCCTGCAGCAAAACAACCCCACAATATGATGCTGCCGCCCACATACACAGTCGGGATGATTATCCTAGACTTGTAGGCTTTCCCCTTTCTTCTACGAATGTAACAATCAGACCTCAGGACATATCTCCAAAAATTCTTTTTCCCCAGTGTAATTTAGCAAATTGTAATCTGGCTTTTTTGTTGATTCTGGCTTGTTGATTTTCCCATGTTGTCACACAAGGAAGCAGTGTGTTTGAGGTTTTTCTTAAATACTATTCTACAGTTGTGCCTCCAATTAACTCAAATGTTGTCAATTAGCCAATCAGAAATTTCCAAAACCTTAACACCATCAGCTTTTTCAGGGGCGCAATAATCTTATTGTATGTAAACTTGACTTTCAAGAAAAGTTATAGCAATTTCTCAAAAAATATCTCTCTTATTATTCTGTTATTAAGCATAACAGAAACAAATTTGACAATCCTAACTTACCCAAAAGAGAACAAGTTTAGTCATATTAACATCTGACTTTTTAAAATGGTTATGTGCCTTTATACAGTGTATGTAAACTTCTGGTTTCAACTGTATGTGTCATTTTTCAAAGCAGACACTTTAGTTATCATTTCTCAGTTTTGTTAATAAATTGAAGCATTTTCTTGCTAAATAAACAGGCTCTTTTTAAATGCATGTGGTAGTTTTCATTTTTGTGAAACGTAAAATATGTTACTCCAGGTACATTTTGTTGTACATTTCAGATGACAAATCCACTAGAGGGTGCTGTGTAAAATATTGGCGAATTTTAAATGCTTCATGAAATAAGTTGACATTTTTTCGTACAGTACATTTCAGATACACATTGTCCACTGGAAGGCGAACCACTGACCTAAACTTTTCCCTATATTTAACAAATACTATCAAACTAGTAAACGTGAGAAAAGTACACTGCAGCCATCTAAATTGACCCTCATTTTAAATCAGTTGTTACTAAACTGGAGTGCTCTGCATCACAAGTTTACCATCTTACAAACTGAGCTACTAAGCATACTGACTATGCCAAAAAATAACTTGCAAACTTGGAGCGCAGTGAAAAAGAGAGAGTACAGCAAATATATATATTTTAAATCATATTTGTTGAAATAGTTCAACTGTTATGAACTGTTATCAAGACTTTCAGAAAGAAGAAAAAAATAATGTGAGAATGATGACGACAGTCAGAGGAGAGAATAACATCAAATTTACTCTCAGCCCCATTGTCACTGCATTACAAACACTTTGCTTAAGAGGCATTTCATTTGTTGTAATTTGACACAAAGATGACATAATACATACATAAATGCATATAAATGTTCATACGTTTTTAAAAGAATCTAAATAATAAAAACTTTTAAGGATTTAAGAATATGACCGTTAAACACATAACATATATCATAACAGGCTTGTGAAAAGGGTCCATTACATTTATATGAAGCTATCTGTGCTTTTACTCAAGTGCTTGATTTGTATACTTTGTCCACGACTGGACTACTGGATTATATACGATTTTACAGTATTTCTCATGTGTCTGTTCACAGGCTGTGAGTTATATGCATTCTGCGGTGCTCTGTTTGGTATCTGCTCGATGATCACACTCATGATTATTGCAGTAGATCGATACTTCGTGATCACTCGTCCTTTGGCCTCTATTGGCGTTATGTCACGCAAGCGAGCCTTGCTGATCCTCTCTGCTGCCTGGGCTTACTCTATGGGCTGGAGCCTGCCCCCCTTTTTTGGATGGAGTAAGTAATTACAAACACAAGAGGCGTTTTGCCTGTAAGGACAAGAGGGAAGCATTTAATCAGAGTCAGAAATGTAGACATTGAATGTGACAGGTCAATTAGAAATGGTCACATTTTTTAGTAAATCAATATTTGAGATTGTAATGTTTTTGTTTCCAGCAAACATTTTCCATAGACTTAAGCATACAGATCTTGGCTTAAAGAAGGCTACATTTGTGCTGTCAGTGAAAATCCAGTCATGTTAAGATGTCTAACAATACTCCAAAAATATACTAGTCATCAAAAGAAATAAACGACTACACATGTGAATCTGTCTAATACCAGCAGGCACAGAACATCAACATGACATCATCTTTTAGTTGTACCCCAACATTGTGGGGACGTTGCCTTTTTTTTGGAAATGAAAATCGGGTTGACGTCAGAACACATCATCAGGCCAGTGAGTCCAACTTTAAACCTAAAATCAACCAAATATCAACGTCTAATGATGTTACAGCTTGGCGTTGTGTGGACGTTATCATTATGATGTCTATCAGACGTTCGATTTTGGTTGCCATACCTGACAAATAAATGTCAGTATTTGATGTCAGTACTACGTTGGTTTAAGATGTTGGCTCAATGTTGGATTTTGAGGACTTCCCAACACAACCTAAAATCAATCAAATATCAACGTTTTTTGACATTGTTATTGAATGCCAAAATAATGTTGTCCTAAAATGCTGGCTAAACATTGAATTTTGGTCACCTGATGTCACAACCTGCTGGGATCTCTCTGTTTAATGACAGTTCTAATCTTTTTGCCATTTATTAGACGTCCATTTCGTTTTCACTAACTGCCCAAATTTAGCCTTGTTGTAACTAAGTTTATTATGTAGCTAGTATGTTTAGTATGTATCAGCAAGTTACGATGTTATTGATGTCTATTAGACAACTTTTTAAACACAAAATCGCTTGAATGATTTGAAAGTAGGCCAAAGTTTAAAGTACAGTCCAGGAGTTTAAAACAGCTCTTTTTTGATACTTTGATCTTGTTAATAAACACCTTCAAACGACCATTGGTCAGTGATGAAACAGTCCATGTGACTTCAGTTGTTAACTAATACCATTTAAATCTCCAACAATGATTTTGTGCAGCAAAAAGTAAATATACTTTTTTTTGCATATAGTTTCATATAAATACAGTAAACCACTGAAGTCACATGAAATGTTTAGACAATATTTTGCCTTCTTTTTTTGGACACTGAACTTCTCAGGACTATTACTGTCTATAGAGGATGAGAGAGCTCTTGCATTTAATTTAATATAACTTAATTTGCTAGAACTTCTCTGAATTCTTAAAAAAACATGAAAGGAAGCCCACAATACTGTACATACACTCAACAATATGTAATTATATTTTCTCCTGTCAGGTGCATATGTTCCTGAAGGTCTGCTGACGTCCTGTTCGTGGGACTACATGACCTTCAGTCCTTCTGTTCGAGCCTACACAATGCTGCTCTTCACTTTTGTATTCTTCATTCCCCTCTTCGTCATCATTTATTGCTACTTCTTTATCTTCAAGGCCATCCGTGAAACCAACAGGTAAACTGGTTAAGTACGTCATACTGGAGAAAAAAAAAATCTGTAAAAGAGAGGTTCATTATTTATCAAAAAAAGAAAGAAAGAAAGAAAGAAAGAAAGAAAGAAAGAAAGAAAGAGAGATCCATTTTAGATTAGTGCTTTGTTGTGTTCTTTACGTGGTTGATTAAATATGTCACTGCGTAAACTGATGTGCATTGTATTTATCTGTTTGTTTTCACATCTGTATGATGGGAATAATAGAGCTGTGGGGAAAATCAATGGAGAAGGAGGACCCAGAGATTCTATCAAAAAGATCCACCGGATGAAAAACGAATGGAAGATGGCAAAGATAGCGCTCATAGTGATCCTGTTGTATGTCATCTCCTGGTCTCCATACTCCTGTGTGGCTCTCACTGCTTTTGCTGGGTGAGAATCAGCATGTTTTACAATTACCATCCAGAACTTTTGATTGCAATTTACAATGTACTTAAAGTTTAAAAAGCAATTACTTCACTTTAGTTTAAAAAGTGAGTAAACCAGTTGGTCTCAAAGCAATAAATTGACTTTACTTAAAAAGATAAGGAAACTCATTGCCTTAAAAGTATTAAATCAATTAATAAAGTGCCTAATTTTAAAAATTAAGTCCTCTAAAACAATTCCACCACTCCAAAAAATAACTTTTGCTGCTTGTATAAAGTGCATTGGAACAATACAATTCTTAATTTATTTTTTTTTTGGGGGGGACAGCCTATTTGTTTTATGTTCAATCCACTTAAGTTTGTAACAATGATTAAGTTAACTTAATGGATTTGTATTGGGACAACTTGAAGGAATTGTGTGGAATCCATTTTTTTTAAAGTGAAGTTACAATGGGGTTACTTACTTTTTTAAAGTAACGTATTCCTTTTTACAGTGAAAGTACTGAGCTTAATTTACTGATTTTATAAGCTAAATACATGATTTAATACATGTTTTTTTCACGCACCTATCAATTTGGGTTATTCATAAAGTGATAAAAAAAAAAAAAAAAAACCTTTTCCATTTATAGAAAATTGTATTCTACGGAATTCTTTCAAGTAGCAAAGACTATAGAAAACACAAGACATGTTACTCGTATTGTTTTGAGTGGGGGAAAGTGTAACGGTCAAAATTGCAAATAAAGCCCACCTTCTAGTACAGGAGCCAATTATCAATCGCTATAGATTGACAATACTCAGAGGAAGAGGGGAGGACCAGACATGAGTTTCTGCAGATTTTGTGTGATTCAAACGTTTATAAATGAAACTAAAGGCGCAATTGTTGTTTAATTTTATTGGTGATTCCTAATATGAAATTTAATCGTAAGCTTGGCAAGCAGTTTTGATGAATTTGATGTGTCCCCATTCAAACTGAATGCCTGTGCACACTGGGTGTTACAAAAATGCCCACCCAGTGAAATGACTTGCCTTAGAGAGACTTTGACAGTAGATACGTTGATTCTACTGTGTGAAAAGTTAAACAAGAATTTTGAACGTGACGTCTTGCAATATTAAGATTTTTGTTCTAGAAATGTATTCAAATTAGCATATTTATTGAGATAGTTCCTCATTTGCATATTTTAATAACATTGTAAAAATTTTTAAACAATCGTTTTAGTTCAGGTCACAATTCACAGTATTAACAAACCATGATCTAACACTACTACCCCAATAAACTACCAATTAGCTGTTTATTAATAGTCATGTAAAAGTTTAGGTTTTGGGTGGGATTGGCGCTGAAGAATAAGATCATACTTTATAACTAAAAGTCAGTCGTTATTTGCATGAACTATGATCTAAACTTAAGTGTTACCAAATTATTTGCAATTTTAAGTTTTAGGTTTAGGTTTATGAATAGAATATTGTTATGCATTCATTCATTTCCTTTTTGGCTTAGTCCCTTTATTAATCAAGGCTTGCCACAGCGGAATGAACCGCAAACTTATCCAGCATATTTTTTACGCAGAGGATGCCCTTCCAGCTGCAACCCATCACTGGGAATCATCCATACACACTCATTCACACACACACACACACACATACACTACGGACAATTTAGCTTACCCAATTCACCTGTACCCCATGTCTTTGGACCTGTGGGGGAAACCGGAGCACCCGGAGGAAACCCACGGGAATGCGGGGAGAACATGCAAACTCCACACTGAAATGCCAACTGACCCATCCGAGGCTCGAACCAGCAACAATTCTTGCTATGAGGCGACAGCACTACCTACTGCACCCCCACGTCACCCAGTATATTGTTATTACTCAGTCTATGCAATGACTATAAATATATAATATTATTTGAGAAACAGAACTGTAAAATACAGAGCTACATTTTTATTACAATCTGCTGGATAATGTTATTTTTTTTCTTATAGCTTTTTATTCATTTATAGCTACTGGAGGCAACCAAAATAGCTTAATATTTGATGGATGAACTTCAGCTGCCAATGTCACTATATTTTTACACGACATTCACTGCTAGCACAAAAATAAAATAAAAAACACTTGACTTTAGTTGTTTGTTCAGACAGTGCAAAGACTCAAAGCAGAAAGATATGTTAACAAGAGCAGAAAAGGTTTTAAATAAAATATAATAAATATTATCCATTTATGTGAGTCAGCATATAGTGCAGTTTTCTCAAGTGAGAAGCAGACATTTTTTCAAAGTATTTCATGAGTGTAGCCAAGAAGAATTTCTTCTTTAAAGTACAGACATTGCTGTTTCATTTCTCTGGCACTAAAGTAAATAATTGTCTACACAATATGATAATTTAACAAGTAAGACTTGAATAAATATTTAAATCTTTGAACATATTACATTCAAATGTATGTACATATAAATTATAAATATAATAAGACAAAAAGCTTACAAATTCTAATAATATTCAAATCACTATATATATATATATATATATATATATATATATATATATACCCTTGATTTTTTTTTTCCTTTTTTAAATATTTCCCAAATGATCTTTAACAGAGCAAGGAAATTTTTTACAGTATGTCTGTATTAGCACCTTTAAAGTATTTTTTTATCGATAGTTTACAGAACAAACCACTGTTATACAATAACTTGCCTAATTACCCTAACCTGCCTAGCCTTTAAATGTCACTTTAAGCTGTATAGAAGTGTCTTGAAAAATATCTAGTCAAATATTATTTACTGTCATCATGGCAAAGATAAATAAATCTGTTATTGAAGGAGTAAATTTCAATAAATTTAAAAATAACTCAATAAATTTATTTCCTTAAAATTTTACACATTTTTTTAAAATTGTTTGAATTAAAAAAAAAAAAAAAACCTGAAAAATCCCATGTAAGTAAATATTGACAGCCTTTGCCATGAAGCTCTAAATTGATCTCAGGTATATTCTGTTTCCACTGATCGTTCTTGAGGTGTTCAGCAGCTTATTTTGAGTTCATCTGTGATAAATTCAGTTGATTTGGACATGATTTGATAAGACATACACCTGGCTATATAAGGTCCCAGGGTTGACAGTGCATGTCAAGGCCCAAACCAAGCATAAGGACAAAGGAATTGTTTTTAGACCTCCGAGACCAGATTGTCTCAAGGCACAAGGCTTTGGAAGGTTACAAAAAAATTCTATTGGTCTGAAAGTTCCAATGAGCACAGTGGCCTCCATCATCCAAGTGGAAGATGTTTGGAACCACCAGGACTCTTCCTAGAACTGGCCGGCCATCTAAGCTGAAAAGGGCCATAGTCAGCGAGGTGATCAATGACCCGATCTGTCTGAGCTCCAGCGTTCTTCTGTGGAGAGAGGATTACTTTACAGAAGAACAACCATCTGTGCAGCAATCCACCAATCAGACCTGTATGGTAGAGTGGTCAGACAGCACATACTTATTCAAAGATGATTCCTTGGATTTACTTAACTGTTTTACTTTAGTGGTTGTAAACTATTTATTTGGGCTGAATTTAAACAAACAAATTAAGTTAAACATTATCACATTTTAATTTGTTTGCTTTAATTCAACACAAATAAGTTGTTTGCTTTTTTCAGTGTAGCAGCCCACCTGGAATTTGTCAAAAGGCAACTGCAGGACTCTTAGAGCATAAGAAACAAATTTCTCTGGTCTGATGACACTAATATTGAACTCTTTGGAGTGAATGCCAGGCGATACGTTTGGAGAAAACCAGGCACCGATTATCACCAGGTTAATGCCATCCCTACAGTGCAGCATGGAGGTCGCAGCATCATGCTATGGGGATGTTTTTCAGCAGCAGGAACTGGAAGACTAGTCAGGATAGAAGGAAAGATGAATGCAGCAATGTACAAACACATCCTGAATGAAAACCTTCTTTAGAGTACTCTTGACCTCAGACTGGGGCGACGGTTCATCTTCCACTAGGACAATGACCCAAAGCAAACTGCCAAAATATCAATGGAGTAGCTTTACAACAACTCTGTTATGTCCTTGAGTGGCCCAGCCAGAGCCCAAACCTAAATCCTATTGAACATCACTGGAGAGAGATTTTATTTTTAATAAATTTGCAACATTTAAAAAAAAAAATCTTTGGGGTATTGCTATAACATAACACAACATAGCACAACATAACATAACATAACATAACATAACATAACATAACATAACATAACATAACATAACATAACATAACATAACATAACATAACATAACATAACATAACATAATAAACATGAATTAAACACTCTTTGAATTAAATATTTTTTCTCTGTTTAATGATCTCATATCCCACATACTGTACATGCTGTTACACATTTCCAAAAGACTGAATCATTTTGCTCATTTACCTCCTCTTTGGCTGTGTTTGGATGTTATGTGGGTTGAATAAAATGAAAGCATATGGAATGATGTGTAATGCCGTGTCCTCTTATTCTTTTCACAGATACGCAGACATGCTGACACCCTACATGAACTCTGTGCCCGCTGTTATTGCCAAAGCATCTGCCATCCACAACCCCATCATCTATGCCATCACTCATCCCAAATACAGGTTTGATGATGCTGAGCCTGAGCCTTTTTTATAAACTATTTGCTTGCTGCAGATTTACAGTTGAAGTCAGAATTATTAGCCTCCCCTTTGTTTTGTTTTTTACTTTTACTTTTTTTAAATATTTCCTTAATGATGTTTAATAGAGCAAGGAAATTTTCACAGTTTGTCAGAAAATATTTTATCTTCTGGAGAAAGTCTTATTTGTTTTATTTCATCTAGAATAAAAGCAGTTTTTAATAAAAAAAAAAAACATTTTAGGGACAAAATTATTAGCCCCTTTAAGCTATTTTTTTTTGATAGTCTACAGAGAAAAAAACATTGTTATACAATAACTTGCCTAATCACCCGAACCTACCTAGTTAACCTAATTAACCTAGTTAAGCCTTTAGATGTCACTTTAAGCTGTATAAAAGTGTCTTGAAAAATATCTAGTAAAATATTATTCACTATCATCATGGCAAGGATAAAATAAATCAGTTGTTAGAAATTAGTTATTAAAATTATTATGTTTAGAAATGTGTTGAAAAAATCTTCTCTCCGTTAAACAGAAATTGGGGGAAAAAATTAAACAGAGGAGCTAATAATTCAACGGGGGCTAATAATTCTGACTTCAACTGTAAGTACTATACAGTGACTTCAAAGAGATCAGTAGCATGTCAACATTTTTGCACATATAACAGCACTACGGTTTTTGTTTTAGCGATTTGTTGTATTGAAAAGTAGTTAATTTCATTAAAAAATCTTGGATACAATATAGTGTAAAAGTATTATTAAAACAGTGTTAAAAACAATATCTCTAACAAGGCCGTTAAATAGTTGTACAGTTAAATATTCACATATCACGGAATATCAGTGATGTAATTTTTATTTATATTTATTTGTACGTTGGTTTTAAGTAATATAAATAGAATAGAATATGTTGTTACAATAAAAATGTCTCTTGTGTTACTTTTGTATGGTGGCCAAGAAAGCTTACCCTGCTGCATTTTTTTTTTAAAATAAGCAATTACAAAAAGTGCCAACAAATTAAAAAAAGATCTTCATCTTCACACGTGCTGCAAATCCTCACAACGCAAACACATTTTTAAAAAAATTTGCTGCATTTTTTCACAACGCAAACAATTTATAAAAACAAATTATAAAAACACGCTGCATTTTCTTACAACACTTTCAAATAGAACAAAATACAATGGAAATGTTTCAAGGGGACTCTAAAACGTGCCGGACCTTACTATTTATGTTATGGTTATTTAGGCCAATAAAATACAAAACAAGGGAATCAGGATGTTAAAAAAACAAAAAAACTCACCTTTCAAAGATCACCTACAACATACACTGAGTAATAGTCATGGCACAGCGGCGTGCATCACAGTTTTTGGGTCCTCTTGCCAATACCAATTTATTATCAGCCAATTATATTTTAGCACCTTGGTGGAAAACAGCTTATTTCATCATTCAGTCAATAAGGCTCTCAAACCTGTGTCCATGACCAAAATGCGAACTCCGGGGGACAGTAGCAGACTCTAAAATGAGATGCAGATTCAGACATTCACGTGAGGTGGTTATTAATTAGCAAATAATATAAATATTACAAACATAAACATTAGGTGAGCAGGTTACATTGTAACCCTGTGTCCCAACAATGCAATGTGACACTGATATTCTGTTCTGTAAGCTCAATTTCAAACAGTTTATTTTGAACTATCTGCAGCTTCCTTCAGTAATATGACAATAAATGCCATGTAAAATGGCATTCAAACATTCAAAAGTTTGCATGTTCTCGATGTGTCTGTGTAGGTTTCCTGATGCATAAAACATATGCTGGATAAGTTGATGGTTCATTCCGCTGTGGCGACCCCTGATTAATAAAGGGACTAAGCCGAAAAGGAAATGAATAAATGAAAATATGAAATTATTCAAATTGAGCACCAAAGCAGACCTGACTCAGTAACCATCTGCTCCAGTTTTTTTTTTACACACCCTGCTTTCCAGTTTAAAAAGGTCTGTCCAGTGAAATGAAACCTTGTTCTACAAAACAAAATGTGTGCTGCGTGCTTCAAGGCCTGGCAGACCTAAATCGTTCAGTGACTTTGTGTTCAGAGTGCAAGCACAAGTACCTTGAGATGACAGAGGTAGATTCTGACCTTTAAAAGTCAGATTTGCTTCAGATTGATCTGCTGTGAATGCGCTGAGCCATGTGTTGCTCTCATAACCGATCTGTGGTGAGACACACAAGATTAATGCCCACCATGAAGCACTTGAATGATGAGGTCATCACTTACACATCACCTCAATTTGAGGTCATCCTTATGAAGGATTGATAAGTTACATAAGACACAACAAACACAAAGCTCTCTTCCCCTATTTAACAAGTAAACATTTTCCACAGTTAGGCATTTTTAAAAATTAACTCATTCTGTTTGTGATTGCTAATGGTCTGCAGAGTTTAAAGGGTTGTGTCATTCTTGTTTTACTTTGTTACTATGTTGTTATCTATTTCGATCTTTAACAAATTAGCATAATTACAGCTTAGTGTTTTTATTTGCTGCCTGCAAGTATCAATTCTAACCCTCAAACACTTTAGTTGGGTCATTGTTATTGACGTCATGTCAAGAAGAAACATTTATTGTAGAGACAAAACATTTATTCAACCGGAACTTATGCAGTATTTACAATCACTGAAGATTGAGAAAGGTTCTGAAACTGAGTTTCAGATATGTTAATGAGTGTTTAATTTTCTATATATGATAGACCAATTGCAGCTGATTGGAACATCTGACCAGTCAATGCAGAGCATACTCATGAAAACAACATAGGCTCATTCTGAAAACGTAGCCCTATATACATTTCTGGAGATCGTGAATTATGTAGCTAGAAGTACATATGGCTGAATTTTGTCCTTAAAAGAATGCTATGGGGCAGCATGATGCCATTCCATTTCTCGCTTACCAGCTGACCACTTACAGTACCTCTGTGTGGATAGCTTTCAAACTGTTACCAGTATGTCCAGTTAGCTCGCCATGTACTTCGGCCGACTTGAGACGCAGGGAGTTGGCCATGACATTGGGGTTTGAGTCCAGTGAAGAACAAATCCAGAAAGCAGGTAGGACACTTTTCTTTTTCTGGATTGCATTTTAAATCTGTTAGTTGGGTTTAGGGAAGTAGGTGGGCGGGTCAATCGATGAATTTGAAACCACTATTGGTTGTGTTCAGGGAAAGAGGAGTATTGATTGGTCAGTCATTCAGTAAGTCAGTTAGTCAGTTATCATTGGCCTCTGATGGGTTATGCAAGAACAGCAGTCGTGAATGGCACTCGCAGGAGAAATTAGAGATCTCAAAAAGCATACACATCGACCTCTGATGAATTTACATAAAACAGAAACACAACTCCTGAGGGCTTACCAGAAATGTTCATAGCAGTACTTTTTTAGAATGAGCCTGGGTTGCATGAGAAGGAGGGGTTTTTAAATATCTTTTAACAAATCTTTGTGACAGCATTGGGACATGAAAAAACAAACTGAAGCAAAATTATAATTTTGTGCAAATTGTTTTGTAACAAACCTGAAACGTGACTATGCTAGATTTTATTGCAATGCTATACACATAGCCGGAGTTCAGAAATACATTGTATTATTTGAATAATATTTCAGAATAGCACTTAACCTAAAAAATAAAAAGCATTTGCTAAAGAAATCATGTGATTTAATCTTTTTTCTGTATGTTTGTCCTACATAAAAATGTAAAATGCAACAATCTACCGGGTGGACTTCCAAGCAAGTTTACCAGAAAAGCTATGCAAATTTGCATTTACATGTATTTGTTAATAAATCATCCACTAATCATTTTTCTTTCTTTTTTAAAATTGTACAGATAAGCCTGTATCCAACAGTTTTCTCTGCAGTCCTTATTTGTGTAAAAAGAAGCAGATGTCATTGGTGTTTTACTGCCTCACATTTATATTTTCTCCCTTTTGCTCTGGCAGGTCTGCCATTGCCAAGTACATCCCTTGTCTTGGAGTGCTGCTCTGTGTTCCTCGTAGAGACCGCTTCAGCAGCAGTAGCTTTATATCCACACGACGCTCCACATTGACCAGCCAGTCCTCTGAGACCAGCAGCAACTTGCATCGAGCCGGAAAGGCACGCTTGTCCTCTGTATCTGACAGCGAATCAGTAAGAAAGCACCTCCAGGCCAGAAACATTGAACCCATATATTTGTAGCCACATACTTCTGATTTCATGTGTGTAGTTTCAAATTCCCTTAAAATCACTGTTAGAAATTAACTTGATAGTTTTTAATCATTTTCAAGGTTTTTTTTTTATTCTACAAATGACTACTAATAGAACATTGTTACTATTATCCCCTATGTTAAGCTGCTTTGACTCAATCTACATTGTAAAAGCGCTATAGAAATAAAGATAAATTAAATTGAATTGAACATTGTACTTACACTTTTAAAAATGAAAGTGCGGGATTTTCTTTTTGTCGAAAGCTCTTCAAAGAAATGTTTTTGGTGTCAGGAACATTTTCATAGTCTTCCACTATATATATATATATATATATATATATATATATATATATATATATATATATATGTGTGTGTGTGTGTGTGTGTATAAACAAATCTACTATATACACACTTTTGTGGACCGAAAATGTTGAAGGTTCCTCATGGAACTCTCAATGCCAGGAAAGAACTTTTATTTTTAAAAGTGTATGTGACATAATTCAGTTGAATAAATTCCATCAAAAGTTTACCCTGTAACTTTTTAGACCAAGAACCAAATATTATGATTTATATTAAATATTGGATAACAGATCAATCACAGAGGAATTCACTTTGTATAAATTTGACTCATATTTGTCAAATTGTCCTTCCTCATCCAAAAGCACACACAAATCAAATGGTTTTCCTTATGTCAAGCTGTAAAGCAATAGTTCACCTAAAATTTACTCATTTACTCATCCTTTTACGTGTTCAAACCTGTTTGACTTTCTTTCTTTTAGTAAACACAAAAGAAGATATTTTGAAGTAATTTGGAAACCTGTAAGCATCAACTACTATAGTATTTTTGGTACTATGGAAGTCAATGGTTAGAGGTTTTCAGATTTCTTCAAAACATAGTCTTCAGTGTTAAAGGGCACCTATGATGAAAAACAACTTTTGTAAGCTGTTTGGACAGAACTGTCTGTATGTGTCAATTGTCCACTGTCATATTGGGGCGATAACCCCAACGAGTCTCTTTTTTTAAATTTACTGACGTTAAAATAGGACACTTGGCGATGCAGTGGCGCAGTAGGTACTGCTGTCACCTCACAGTAAGAAGGTTGCTAGTTCGAGCCTCGGCTGGGCCAGTTGGCGTTTCTGTGTGGAGTTTGCTTGTTCTCCCTGCATTCACGTGGGTTTTCTCCGGGTGCTCCGGTTTTTCCACACAGTCCAAAGTCATGCAGTACAGGTGAATTGGGTAGGCTAAATTGTCCATTTTGCTGTGGCGACCCCTGATTACTGAGGGAACTAAGCTGAAAAGAAAATGAATGAATAAAATAGGACACAAATCCCAGTGATTTTGAGGCCCACCACAACGTGGTGTAGGAGTGTGGTTTTCCCAACCCACCAAATTGATTGAATCCACAGAACTTTTTTTAGCAAATAAACTAGGATTAAAACAAATGTTACAAGTCTCTGTGATCAGCTGCACCTCAGTAATTATTTTTGTAAGTTTAAAACGTTTTTAAAACAGAGCATGTTTGTAATAAAGACAGTAAAATCGCTATGTAATTCTTAGCCGATATAATCACCACGGCCACAGGGTGTCAGTAAACTGCAAACGGCATTTATGTAAGACTCATCATTTCAGAAAGGCTTAAATAAACTCCACCACAAATACATCAAATAAACTTGTGACGGTATTTTAACTTCATCCCAGTCTGTCTATCACTGACTGCTGTTTATCTGATGTAATGCAGGAGAAGCAGACACACATGTCAGAGCGGTGGGCAGGGAGAACCAGGTCATATGGATTTAAAACCACAGGCTACAACAACAGCTACAGTGTACTCAGACACCAAAATGGACAAATTCTATATTACATGTTAAATAATCTGATGAGTATTTTTTAGAGCTGAAACTTCACATACACATTCTAGAGACACCAAAGGTTTATCTTACATCTTAAAAGGATTTGCCCTTTAAACAGAATAAAGAAACTCAAAAGTTTAGATCCACTTGAGTGTGAGTAAATAGTGAGTACATTTTTGGTGGGTGAACTGTCCCTTTTTTAGCAAAGCTCTTTCTGTTGTAACTGCTTAATGTGTGTTGTGTATGGACAGGGCTGGACAGACACAGAGGCAGATCTCTCCACCGCAAGTTCACGGCCTGCTAGTCGCCAGGTCTCATCGGAAATCCGCAAAGATCTATGCGATATCAAGCACAGCAGCTCTCTGAGGCTGAAGGTCAAAAGCAGAGACTCTGGAATCTTCGACAGGACATCAGCCCAGAGTCTAGCCGACCCGAGCACCAACCGGCCCTGTGCGTACATCAGCGTAAGTGAGAGACTTCATTTAGTGTCATATCTACCTCATTTATCACCAGCTCCACAGCTCACCCGGCGCTCTTTGATTTATGAAATTAGGAAGTCCCACATTCATTTTAAGAGAGGAAACGACTCCATCAGATTTAAAAAATTAATTTGGAAATTTCATTCCATCCTTCATATCTCGACGACAGTTCGCTGCCCTGGTTTTAGCCAGCGCTGTACTTTGACAAATGACAAGAGTGCTCAAGAGTCTGCATGCTTATGTGTGCTAATGATGCACTTTCTGGGATTTCTTATGACTGTACGCTAATTAAGTTTGAGAGAAATTGGTGCCTCCTTCACCAACTTTTTCTTTTAAATGTAGTGAAGCTATTGCTGTCTGACATTTAAATACAGCTCTTTTTAACTAGTAGATGAAGTAGTGCTTTTTAATTGAGCCTCCTGGTACAGTATATATTTTTTTATCTAAATGATACATCATGGGTAATTTTTAAAGTACACCTATTTTATAAAAACTAGGCTAAAAATACTGTTCGAGTTAACAGCTACATATTACCAATACCAGTTTCATGTGCTGCTTATTCAGTCCTACTTTGCAAAATTATAAGGTTCTATCTGCGTTCTAAATGATTTTGAGATATTGAGCTTCAGAGTTTTGCATTCCATATAGCAAACAATATGTGTGTAACAGTTCACTTTCATACATTACCATGACATAGACCCCAAATGTACTCTAAATGTAAATTATCAAAATTCTATTCAAGTGGTAAATTGGGGTAAAATAAACGGCAAATGCACATAAAACCTTCTAAAAAGTCATATTCTGCTTGGAATAATGAGTTACTATCTGGCAGATCCTTAATTGAAGTATTGCTTTTCAAGAAATACAATGAGTCTGCTTATTAATTTATTTAAAAAAATAAATTAGGTATTGTAACAATATGTTGATGCTTGACAAGGTTTTAGGCATACAAGGCTGTGCTAAATATTTTGTCCAGTGCAGATGTTAATTTTATGTAATTAATATGCTAATCTTTATTGGATTATATATTTTATATGATATTTATTCAATTGTAAGCCCCATTAATTAAAATAAGTATTTGCCCTTCAAGGTTTAATATCAAATTTAAAGACTTTAAAAGAAAACAGACAATGAGCAAATGAGTTCAACAAAGTTTAATAAAGACTGAAAATGTTTCACAGACTATATATATAAAGACAAATATAAATATTTTACATTTAATATTTAATTTTTTTAAATTCCTGTTTCTTTTTCAACAACGTAAAATGTAACATTTCAATGTCAAAAATGCTTCCAAATTCTAACATTTTCGCAGGTTTCTTTTCAATTTTGTGTGGTGCGGCATTATTTAGTCAACTCTTTCTGGTCTTTCCAGCTGTTAACGGCAAAGAAAGCTGATCCTGATTGGTGGCAATTGAAATGCTGGTTGGCTCACAGAAAGAAGCTTATAGAGCCAAGCTAGAGTTTGTTTGTTTGTTTTTTAAGTAAAAAGTCTTAGGACCCTATCACACACCTGGTGCAATAAGGTGCAAGACATGTTTGCCCTGACGTGTTGCTATTTTCAGATCAGCGTAACCCTAATTTTCCCATTTTCCACCACTTTGCTTAAATAGCAAATCCATTTGCGCCACTTTGTGGACTCATGGGTGTCCGGTCCAGAAAAGAGATGTGTTAAGGTGCATTGTTGGTGCGCTGATATTTTGAGGAACCAAAAAAGACCAGCTGAAAGCTTAAAACATGCATGATGTACAGCAATGCTCAAATATCTTTACAAAAAATAAGTAAATAAATACAGGATTAAAATAGTTCAAAATGATTACTTTCTACATAAATATAAAAACCACTACCTTCATGCTTTCATCTTGGGGGGCTTTTTTGGTCTATTCACAACAACTTGCTTTTGTGTAATGATATTATTCATAGTAGTATTGTTTATCATATGCATATTTATATTTGTTTTATTAAAAACAAGCTTAGGTTTGTCCACCTGTCGGGTTTTGTACCATATGGGGCATAGCATATGTGTTTGGATATATAACCTTTTGACCACAAAAAATTATTATTGCTCATTTATTCGTTTGCTGGAAATTAAAACTGAATGTAGAAATAGTTTTAAAACAAATCTTTGCGCTTACAAACAAAATTTATTATGTAGGCTTGTGGATGCCTTCAGTGGAGTGTACAACACCGTTTCCACTGTAAAAAGTGCTATCCACAAAAGAGAGAAAGAGAAAGTAAAGGCGCGGAGAGTATTTTTCCATCCTTAAAATAGAAAAAAGTGGATTCGGACATGCCCTTAATGCTTTTGTGCCATGTGCTTTAGACCTTGCGTATAAATCGTTAAAATAGAGCCCTTAAAATGTAAACAAATTAAAAAAAACATCACATAATGTAAATAAGTTGCTATTTAATAAGAATATGTGAATAACTGAATTTTGGCAAAAATGTTAGACAGAACCTTATAATTCTAAGATGACGAGGCATTCAAACAAGGGCTTTTCTATATCGCTTTTTTGCAAGTAATGTGAACTGATCATCAACATATCATTGTGCATTATGTATGCCCAATGTGATATATCCCTGCAACCTTTATTTCCAAATGAATCAAAACTGAATCAAAGGAAATCGAAATCAGAATTGCAATCTTGAGAAATAAAATAAATTGTAGAATATGTCTGTTTATCAAATTTAAAGTTTAGAACAGAGGCTTATGAGAAATGATCCACAACCCATTTTTGGATTGCGTTTCAGAGAGCAGAAAATTGTCATGTGTTAATGGAATGAAACAAATCCAGCTTTTCTGCTTATTATTCAAGATGTATAATGTAGAACTGTTTCTATTTTCCTAAAAAAAATTACTTGTACATTTTTAAACCAACAGAACTTTCAACAGAACACAAATCAACAGAAGATGTAAAGGTAGTTTGGATAATTACAAATGGCATTCCTTCAAAGAGCCGACTTCAATGAGGGTCCATTACATTGAGATTAAGCCTGCTTTAATTCTCCCATCCTAATCTGTTGGTTTTAGAGAGATTATCCCTATAAACAGAAGCTCATCCTATGTCATCAAGATGAATGGCATTAGTGTGTCCACTGGGTGGCACATTCAGCTCTGCCCATCTACCTCTTTCTTTTGATTGGTCACAGTCCAGTTTAGACAGTGGGAGCCTCACAATGTGTTAAAATAAACTTTCAAATTAGAAAGAGAAGTGTCTACTTCAAAAAAAAAAAAAAAATTAAATAATTTTAACTACTGTTAGTCAGTTAGTCTCTCATTATGGTAAATTTTATGTGTATCTTCTCTGTCCTTCTTTCAGACGGTTGGTGACAAAGATGAAATCTCCATGGCCGAGGTCAGCCTGTCAAGCTGTCCCTCGTCTTCTGTGAGTACTTATATTGAACTGGATTTGTTTTTACAACCTAAAATAAAAAAAATAAAAAAAAATAAATAAATAATGTATGAAGAGAATGAAAAACGCAAATAATAAAATAAATTAGCGATTTCTAAATTTTCTTTGACTTGTATTTCATTGCAGACAATACAACAAACATGTAATATTTTCCTTATGATTTTTATTTTATTTTATTTTATTTTTTTCAAAATAAACACATATTCCAATTTTGGTTCTAGCAACACATTTCAAAAAAGTTGGAACAGTAAATTATTTACCATTTTGTAATGTTGACATTCCTTTTCACAACAATTAAAATAAGTTAGGGACTGAAGACCTGAAGACACCGAGTGATGAAGTGTTTCAGGTGTCATTTTGCCCCATTCTTCCTCATACAAGTTTTAAGATGGGCAGCAGTACGGGGTCTTTATTGTTGCATTTTGCTCTTCATAATGCACCACAAAATCTCTATTTGAGACTGGTCGGGACTGCAGGCAGTCCAGTTAAGTATCTGTATCCTTTTCCTCTGCAGCCAGGACTTTGTAAAGTGTGCAGAATGTGGTTTTGTCTTGTTGAAATATGTCCCTGAAAAAAAATGCAGCATATTGTGCTCCAAAATCTCCAATAACTTTTCAGCATTAATGGTGTCATCACAGAAGTGCAAGTTACCTTTGCTAAGGGCACTGACCCAACCCCATACCATTACAGACCTTGGATTTTTGGCTTGTTGGTGGTAGCAGTCTGGATGACCTATTTTTTTTGGTCCAGAGTAGACATTTGTCCCAAAAAATACCTGAAATACTGTGTTCCACTGTGTGATGGTCCATCCCAGAAGCCTCCGAGCTAAGAGAAGTCGATAACGGTTCTGGACACTGTTAACCTTTTAGTACAGTACAGTTTAGTGGATGTCACTGTGGATGACATTACAATAATTTTCTCACACGTATTAATTGGCAAACTGGCGATCCTCGGCCCATCTTTCTTCCTACAGGTGTAGACCTTTCTTGGATGCTATTTTCGTAACAAATCATAATAACAATCACCTGTTGACATCCTCTGTTTTAAATCACATTATTGAATGTCTTGCAGGTCTGAATGTCTGAATGACCAGACAAAACATGAAATATATTGTGTTCATATTGTCTGCAATGAAATACAAGTCAAAGTAAAATCATTGCAAATCACTACTTTCTTTTTTGATTTGCGGTTTCCATTATGTCCCAACTTGATGTTTAAATTCAACACATTAACAAATAGGGAGTTCCTAACCTCATGCTTATAATAATAATATTACATTTTATTATTAAATTAACCATTATCTTTTAGATTTAGCAAAAATAATCTGTTTGAAATGATAGGAAAGGGAGATCAAAGAAACAAGAAACACCAAGAAACATATAATGCAACCACGGTAGTTTGATTCCTGAACAAACTCTTTTAATGGGACAATTTGGGGGTGATTTTTGACCCTGTATGTATTATGGTTGGATGTTCACAGTAAAACATAAACACAAGTTTTTGTATTTAAAATTTTAGTGATTAAATAAAACTAATCAAAAACGTGCATAAATATTAAGATAAACTGATCAAAATAGACTGATATAACAAAACAAAATTGTCCTTTAGGGTTTTTTTAACCCACAAGGGACACTATTGAAACCAAACGTCATCCCAAAAACCATTGTTATCCAACTACAATCATCCATTGTTCATTGTTCACAACCAGCACAAACTCTATGGATGGAATTGCAGCTCGTGACCTGCTTATTTTCTTTTCATGACAGATGGACCTGAATAGATCATGAAAGTGTCTAAATAAGCAAGCTTGCATGCTATACAATATATATCTTTCATCTCACATACATATATATTTCATTCTGCATGTAATAGTGTGTTGTAAGATTTAAAGCATTGTTTTGTGCATGTGCCTATGTGCAAATGTGCTCCTTATACCAACAACCATGACACATGCAAAATCACTTACAGTAAAACAACTTTCTTCCTCATTCTGATGCTCAGTATGAACTTTAGACCATATCTTCATGCATAAATGCATCAGGATGCTGCCATTGCCATGATGGTTTATTGGATATTTGCTTAGTCTAACAGGTGTGCTTAATAAAGTGCCCAGTCTGGAGGAGAAATGTTATGAAAATAATAATAATGATGCACCACGATCATAGATATATCTATGAGATGAGCATCCTATTTCTCAAAGGATGCTGAAAAATAACAGGTAATTTACTCTGTAATCTTTTTCGAGGTTGTGTGTGAATAACGCAAACATGCCTCATTCATACGGGATTACAATCACAGGGTCCATCTGTGAAATGCAATTTTACCATACCTCTACAGGGAACACTTGTCCAAATATGTCTTCTATATTACAGCCATCCCATAGACGTTCATGTTTATTAATCTGATTTGTAGCTCCCTTGGTGTAAATGTGGTAATAAAATATCTATTTGGTTCGACATAATAGCATACAGGATTTCATTACACTGAATTCAGACCAAGAAACAGTGTTGCTTGATCTTTAAAGAGAAGGGATACGCAAATGGCACACTATAACAAGTAAAACAATCGGCATGAGGTCAAATTAAGCTTTCAGATTGTCCTGTGTTGAGCTATGGTGTTGTTGATCACTGGCTGAGCTGCACTGTCATAAAGGTACCCCCAGTGTGTCATTATTAAGAACAACAGTGACTGGAAGAGAAGACAGGAAGCAAACCTGTCAGTGAATGCAAACACACACAAAAAATAACAGTCCTGCAAGTTCTCTCACAGATCAAGCTGAAAAAACTCCCTGTGCTGCTGAGCATCAACATGACCATGGCAAAACATGGTTTCAAGCTACAAAATATCAAGCCAGTTCTATACTCTCAGCCTGGTCTGATTTGTATTCAGTTATTATACATGTGAGGTTTACAGTTTGTTGTGCTTTGTATGTGAGCTGAAAAAAATACATATGTGTGGAAAATATATTCAGAAATATAAAGTATTATCTGTTTCATTATTTCAACTCCCAAGCATCCGAGGAGACTTTTTTGGGGCAATATCATTTAGTTTTCATAAAAAACATAGTTTCTTTCTTCTCAGCGGCTGACAAAAATTGACTCGTTTTGTAAGTTTGCCATCCGAAAACATGAAAAAAGAGGACTCGATTTAACAAAATAGAGTGGTTAATGAAAAACATTAAAAAGTGACTCTATAAATGCAAATGCAGTTTCTGAAGCAAAACCTAAAATTCACAGGATCTGTGGGGTGTGTTTCTGGGTGCCAGAATATGGTTGACTCAATGTGCAGCAGTTATAAAAAAAAAACAAAAAAAAAAACAAAAAAAACAATGGCAATGGAATTGCTGTTACATTTCACATTAATTACTTACATTTTAAAACACATTAATATACAAAAATACCATTTTTAACGGTGGTTCATTTCGCTGTGGCGACCCCAGATTAATAAAGGAACTAAGCCGAAAAGAAAATGAATAAATGACTTATTTGTAACAAGCATTTTATTTATTTCACAGCTATACTTATAGGGCCCTATTATACAACTGGAAAAAGACATGTTTGCTTGATTTGTTGCTATTTTCAGATCAGCGCAACAGTCATTTTCAAGTTTTGCACCACGTTGTTTAAATAGCAAATCCATTTGCGCCGCTTTGTAGACTTGTGGGTGTGCTGATTTATAAAAAAGGGTGTCTTGCTATTTTGATGAACTAAAATAGACTGCACCACTGACAAACTAAAACTGGTCTAAAGTCCAGCACAGAGCACTTTAGTTATGCATTTGTGTGGGTCCAAATACTTACACATTGCTTAATACACACATGATGTGCAGCAATTCACAAATATCATTACACATGAAAAAAATAAAAGATTAAACTGTTTCGAAAATTCTGATTTTCTACATGAATATAAAAAACACTATCTCCACTCCTTCTTCATCTCTGGGTGCTTTTTTCAGTTTATTTATGACAATGTACATTTGCAATAATGTTATTATTATTATTATTATTATTATTATTATTATTATTATTATTATTATTATTATTATTATTTATATCATTTATATGTATATTTATATTTGTATTGGTTTTTTTTTTTTTTTTATAAAAACAAGTTTAGATTAGTCCACCTGTTGGGTTTTGGAAATGTATGCATCACCATATGGGGCATAAATTAGGACATGGGTTTGCATATAACTCTTTTTTTTCACACTTTGTTATTATTGTTTTTTTATTCATTTGCTGGAAATTAGAACTGAATTTAGAAATAGTTTTGAAACATCTTTGAGCTTAATAAACTAAATAAAAAATGTAAGCTAATGGAAGCCTTCATTGTCATGCCTTTAGACAGGTATGTTTTAAAACAATTTTCGCCACACAAAGCTTATTTAGATTATGTTCTTGTTTATGAATGGGTTTATATGCACGGAAGTGTTGTTCAGCTACTGAAAACGTCCGGCAAAAGATTGGCCATTTTCAAATACATGGAGTACCTTTTACAGCATCCATAATATAGTCAGTTAAATAGACCTGAGGATTCGTTTACTTGTTCAAGTGAAAAAGGAGATGAAAAAAAGTGATGTACAAGGATCAGCGAGCACAATTAAAAATGAAAAGTCATTCGTTTTCTTGGTAACGGAAACATAAGTGTAATGTAAAAAGAAGAAAGGATATTGCTGTTTTTAGCACTCTTTTTTTTCCTGATCTAATATTTATTTAGTATAATAACAAAACATAAATGTGCTCTTCCGCCTAACCAGCTTTACTGAGGTAAAGTTTAATTTATATTCACACATTTGTTTAGTTTTGAACAGGACAGCCTGTGACACACACACACTTTTTTTTTTTTTTTGCTCGTTCAAACTACGCATTTAAAATGAGCTGAATCAACGCAATTCTTCAGATTTTACTGGGACAATAAAATTTTTTTATGTTTAATCCACATAAATTTGTTAAAAGTGTTTAGTTAACTTAATCAATTTGTGTTGGGACAACATGAATGAATCGTGTGGAACCCTGGATTTTTTACAGTGCAGTTTTGGGGAAATATAATTCCTGCACCCGCTGGCCTGTCAACAACTACGCTTAATCAAGTGTGTGGCTCCATAGAGTTTTCCAACTGGTGAATGACATGATCTAGTGTTATATCTATCAGTGCACGTTCGCGTGTTCATGACTTAAAGGAGGCGTGGCTTTAAATGACAGGGGAGGGTCGTAAAATTTCTAAGCTATTATGCTAATGCTAGCATTCTGGCAGATCACCTACTGCACCTTTAATACTTTAACACCAATGTAATCAATACAGAAATGTAGATTTTTAACATCAAAAACTGTAAAATAGAAAAATTTTATAAAAAGTATTTATGTGTTTACTCCTTCACTCATTGTATTTTCTCTGTCTCAAATCAAGCAGAATGACGTCTCAGAGAAAGCAGATGAGAAAAGGCCATTGGTTCGGATCCCCTCCATCATTGTGACTTCAGAAACCTGTCCTGCTGTCCTGCCAGCGGGACACTCTTCCAGGCTCATACCTGGAGCTCCAGCAGTCACAGACTCTGTCACCGTGACTGACTGAACACTGATGCTCTGTCATCTGACTGTCTCTTCCTCATTTCTGTCTTCTTTACCCAGGGCTCAAAAACCAACCTGCATGCAGTTACAACTGACATCTGAATTATTGTTACCTTTGCTTGTTTTCAGATGGAAAACAAGCCACTTTAAGGTAAACAGGGTGTGTATTTTTGACATGAAAGTGGGGTCAGGACACCTATTCAGGCTTTTTCCGGTGGTGTGGAGATGATCCTCTCCTCTCAGGGAAGAAAAGCAGCAGTTGGTGTCTGTGTTGTGGATTTTGGCACCGGTTCTGAATATGTGTTCAGATTTCCTTTTCAATGAGCTGCTTTGTCCATTAATGCCTGTGCAGTATAGGTCATAGCAAAAACCCATTGCCTGTGTCTGCACAAGATCAGAAACAACATGCTATTTTAGAAATGAGGATTTAACACTTAAGACCCCAGTATACTTCAAACAAAATTGGACAGTGAGCAGAAATTACATAATTTTAACAAATCTGGAAAAAACTAAGATTGTTTTGTTCAATTTGGCAGCTCATTATACAACAAACATGACTAGTTAGCAACAGGAGAGTATGTAGCAGAGCTGGTACAGATATATCCGCACCTGTATAATTGCTAGCAGACAGATTTAAAAGACTCTGAAGGAGTGACACACCAGACAAAAAGCCCCAACATGTCACGTGTCACATGTGTCTTACGCTGCAAAAAAACTATGTAATAACAATATTTTTTTTTATTATTATAAATAATAACAAAGACAACATTTTTTACATCAACTTAATTTAGAAAGTTAATCTGATTTAACTTTATTTTTTAGGTTAAACAATTTTTAAGTTGATCTTTTAAGTCAGCTTAAATGATGTAAGTAGTGATGACTAGTTAAATTAATTCAGCATTCAGTTAACAGCAAACGTGAACTTAAGTATTCACATAAAAAAATTACAAAATGTGTGACGTGAGCAGGCCCGTGCAGAGACCGTCCAAAGGGCATGTGCAGGATAAATTTTTTGAAGACCGGGGGTGGGGGGGGGGGGGGGGGGGGAGGTGGGTGGGTGGGGTTGTTGTTGCGCGCGTACTGAAGAGCGGTGTTGTCGCGCGCCTACTGAAGGGCGGGACCGAGGGTGTGTCGCGTCGCGGGGGCACTTTTGATAATTTTGGAAGGGCACTTTCTATTCAAGACTAAAAAGGGCATGTGCACTGCACAGGTTGAGCCCTATGTGTGCACGTGCCTGGACGAGAGAGACGTTTTACAACCCTGCCTATTGCAGCACAGGGATGTCAGAAAGCTTGAAAACAGTATACCATCACTTAGCCCTTTAAAACGTCTTTTTAACCCTGAAATGAAGAACAAAAACAAAGTTTGTTTGAAGTATAACAGGGCCTTTAGATTTTATCTAGTTTTCAGAGATTTTGGTCTTGCTTTGACATGTAGAGCCCTGTTTATTTGTGTGCACTGCCAATTTTACTAGAATTTTTCACTAGTACATATGTTTAAACATTCTTAAACCAAGATGCATTTAATTGAGAAGAAAATGGTTGATGATATTTAACTGTGTTTAGTTGAAATATATCAAATTTAGCTTGAGGTTAAGATTAAAATGAGAAAACAATTCTGATAGTGTGGCTACAAAAATATATTTAAAGCCTGTGGCTACCAGAACGTTGTGAGTAAAAAAATACATACATGCAATTAAATAAATCACAATTATCTGTCTGTGCAGAAAACTGAGCATTACTTACAGCAGCATTACCTTTAATCCTTTAATCTTTTAATTACAAACAAAAGCAAGATTTTTCCCACATAGGCTCATTCTGAAAATGTACCTCTATATACATTTCTGGAGATCGTGAATTATGTAGCCTAAGTAACGTATGGGTGCATTTCCTTTTCGTTCCTTGTCGCACTTACCAGATGACTACTTACAGTACCTCTGTATGGACTGATTTCCCGCTATTACCAGTTTGTCCAGTTAGCTTGCCATGTACTGTATGTCAACAGACTTGAGATGCAGAGAGCAGTTGACCAAGATGACGGCATTCGAGTCTGGCGAAGAATGGTTCTAGAAACAAGGTAAAACAAAAACAGAAGCCAAAAAAAATTAAATAAACAAGAAAATAACACAGTGGGAATGTGGTAAAATCTGAAAAACGTGGTAAAAGTCAGACAAATGCTTTTCTTTTTCTGGATTGCTTTTAAAACTGCCAGTTGGGTTTAGCAATGTGGGCAGATCAAAAAAAAAAAAAAACATAGCTCCTGGCACATATTTGGCACTATCAAGAAATGTATATAGCGATACATCTTCAGAATGAGCCTGGGTTAGATTTTTGATGTTTTAATTTCTGATTGAATTTTTGGTGGGACTTAGGCATTTGAGGAGTTTAAGCGGAGTTAAACTTTAAAAGGAGTTAAACTTTTTTTTTCAGAAAACATCCCTTGATTTCCCTAGTAATTTGTCTTCTGCAAGAATTGTTGAATATTTTGTCTTGTAATTCTAAAATAAATCTTTTTTTGGAGTGTAACCATGTTAGGACAGAAAGTTTGGGTTTATGTTTTAAAAGTGGAGTGTGTAATTACATGTTCATTCATTCATTTATTCATTTTCTTTTCAGATTAGTCTCTTTGTAATTACATGTATAAATGTAAGAAATATATATTTTTACTATAGTCACTATTTAAAGAAAAAAGTTAAGTATACTAAAACACCATATAATATTGTGATATTGATAATTTTACAAACAAAACTAACAACAACATATTGTTTTAAATACTAAATGAAGAAGATTAGGTATTATAACATTTAATACAATCAGACTGTTTATGTTACGTTAAAAATAAAGTTATCATTATCCAAGTTCATTTAAATGTATCATAGAAAAATTAAAAACATTGCAAAAAATTGCATAAACTACAAAACAGTTGTTTACTTATGTAGTATTTTCAGTAAACATATTGTAAACATTCTTAAATCAAGATGCATTTACTTCTGAAGCCAAATGACAGAGAGGCAGAGATGCCCAAAGTTGGCCCATTATAAACTTTGATTTGGCCCACCATCCCATCTGAGATGAGAATGATGGAGCGATCGTCATTTCTAATTTAACGTAACCTTTTTTTTTATTTGTTTTTTTGCTAAACTACAAAAATAATGATAATAAAATAATTGAAATTAAATGTTTCAATGTAAATACTGTCACTCGAAGAATAGAGGACTATGCAGAAGACATCGGCAAGTAAATCGAGGCAAAAACTAGTAAATGAGTAAATATAAATGAGATTGTTTTGATTTAACTGTAATGAGTTCATCATAAATTACTGTATTGGTTAATAAAAAGTAATGTTTTAGAGTGATTTTTAAACATTATTAAATAATTTATGAAATTACCAATGGCAACTATATTTACCTTCGGCCCTATAGTGTCAATCAAGTTTGGTGTGTGGCCCTTTATAAGAAAAAGTTTGGGCACTCCTGTTATAACGTGTTGTTCTCTAGAAGAAAAAAAAAGCAGCAAAATTTTGTACGTTTATATTTAAAATAAAAAATATATCTGCCAATTGGGGTAAAAAATAAAATGTAATTCTAAGGAAGAACAAGATACTTTTCCTTATTGAATTGGCAGATATTTCATTGTTTAAAGTATAAACCTAAACCCACTTTTTTTAAGAAAACAACTTAACATGTTATTTAGGTTCTTAAGTCAATCTACATTAATATAAGAATGTTTACTTGACTGTACAAGAAATAAAACAAGAAAACCAGTTGTAGCCTAAACATCCAAGAATACAATGTAAAACAAATAGACAAATAGAGATAACTGATCTAGTAAATATACATTGCGCATACCCAATTAGCTTTAAAATATCATCTTCATCTAAATCAGCCTCAATCAAAACCATTGACATTGTTCTTGCTGCTGCTGATCAAACAATGTTTGTCTTATTTTGTAAATGAAATTTTTTCAGCACTCTGTGGCCAATGTGTATAATAGTCTATATATTATTGAATGTTTTTATGAAAGCGTGCACAACAAATGATCTCATGATGTATGATTTGCCCTCTTTTTGTGTTAAAATCCCCCAGACTGTGATTACCTGCATGCTTTCTAAACTAGGCTCCTGAATGAAATATTTAAATGTTTTTTTACCGTCTGCGTAGACTACAATAACATCCCAACTCGTATAAATGTAAAAATCGTCTTTTAAGCTCAAGCGACTGATTTTGGCGCCTGTGGCGTTAATGAACTGTACCTTTCAGATGCAGATTTGCCTTTCTGCTGGATTTCAGAGATGCTTTAGTGGGATTAATATGCCGGCATCTGGGAGTCCTTAGGGATTAGAGGGGAAACGCTTTTAACAAGATTACTTTTGGAAAAGTGCTCAGCCAGAACACGCCATTGCTTTTAAAGGTTGGAAGTTGCGTACACATTCTCAGATAATGGTCTCTGAAGCAGTTCAAATGCGCTGTCAGTCTCTCTGTGTCTCCAGAGAGAGATGTTTACCTTTCCTTTTTGAGCTAAATGTCTTTCAGAGATGGTTTATGATCTCCTTTGCTGTGGATATTTACTGATGTTGCCAGAATGTTCACCTTTGACTGCATTTCTAAAGCCACTCGTGGTTATCAAGTGAGTCAATGGCATGTCCTGCTGATTTGTTGTCTGGACGCCGTCAGGTGACATAATCAAGTGGTATAATAATGATAAGGTTAGCTTATTGGTGAGAGCCACGAGGTCATACATTTTTACTTGTGATAATATTGTCTTTTTTGCCCTTCTCTTTCCTGTTTTCTTTCTTGGGTTCAGTTCTGATGTTGTCGCTATTTAGGGGCAAAGTTTATGTGGTTGTTTTGTTTCTTTCAAAGCACCTGATAATGATTTACTTTACCATAATGAATAAGCTAAGATGAATAAGCTAAGACATTGCAAGTGAAAACAATATAATGTAAAGAAAACACCCAAAATACACTTTGTTACAATACAATTGTTTCTTTTGTCACTTTTATGAGTTTTAATCAATACATATATTTAATTTTTAAAGGCTGTATTCTCAAAATAACTTTTTTTCTCTTGCATTAAGATATAAATCTCCCTTTTAGCAGCAGTTACATACAGAAATCGTTCAAGTTTGTATCTGCTGTATATAAAATAAAATTTGTATTTTCAGTTTGCAGTATTTTCTCAAATATGGAGTGATAAAAAGATTATAATTGTGTAAGGACCATTGACTATAATTGGTTAAAAAATAACCTGACATTGGGTGGCACGGTGGATCAGTAGTTAGCACAGTCGCCTCACCTAGAAAGTTGCTGCACACCTAGAAGGTCACCTAGAAGTCCTGGCTGGGCCAGTTGGCATTTGTTCTCCCCGTGTTTGTGTGGGTTTCCTCCAGGTGCTCTGGTTTCCCCCACTGTCCAGGGACAAGTGCTATAGGTGAACTGAAAAATCAAAATTGTCCGTAGGTTATGAAATGTGTGTGAATGAGTGTGTATGGATGTTTTCTCACATTTCCTCCTTGGTTGTGGCTGGAAGGGCATCCGCTTTGTAAAAAAACATATGCTGGAACAGTTGGGGGTTCATTCCGCTGTGGCGACCTCTGAAATATAGACTAAGCCGAAGGAAAATTAATGAATGAATAACCTGTCATCATCCAAAGATCATTTGTTGTTTGTTTGTTGATTTTCCCACTTCTGGGTTGCAGCAGGAAGGGCATGCGCTG